AGACCCTAGAAGCCACAGAATGCAAAAATAAATAAATAATTTTTACATTTTAAAATTATAGTCTAATTTTCACATTTTATTTTAATTTAATATTACAGTCTACTTTTCACATTTTAAATCTATACTGCAAGACTCATCAGGGCACAGAAACATTACCCCCCTCCTAGCCCTACCCCCCAAGCTGCAAAAACCCTGTACAGTACAGTAAATACTGTACAGTGTATGTACTCACCCAGAACAGGCAGTCTCTCTGTTTTTTTAAAAAAAGTCAAAAATCCAAAAATTAAAAATAAAGCCAAAAAATACAGTCTGTACAGTACCATGCAGTACCATGCAGTACTGTACCAGGTAGTCTGAAGACTCTCTCCTTCTATCCACTCTCTAACCGTTGGGATGAGCGAGGTTGCAGACAAAGAGCCTCTTCACTGGCCAACAGTCAACTGAAAGTTCAAATTTTGCACTTTTCCCACCTCCCCCGCGTTTTTGTTTGTTTGTATGTTGAAGTTCCATTCGCAAGTAGAAGCAAAATTTAGCAAACGGAGCTGTTCGTAAGTTGAATTGTTCATAGGCAGGGACGTTCGTAAGTAGAGGTTCCACTGTACTAACATCAAAAACTGCTTCAGAATTGAAAGAGCTTCCCTAGAGTTAAATGACAAATGCAGACAGAATTGGCTGTCGTCAGCATGCTGGTGGAATTAAACACTAGGAGTCTGAACAACGTCTCTCAGCAGTTGAATGTGCATCTCTCATCCTTTTATCCAGATAACAACGCCCATATGCCTCTTACACCTTGCCTTGTAATATTCTTACCTATCACATTTCCTTGCTCAGTCCCTCCCTTCAATTGTGCAAACATCTCCTTGCCCCACAAAATATGTTCCTCTTTTTTACTTTCCTCCTTTGGAACTGTGTCTGTGGGACCTCCCCACCCACCTGCTTCCCCCAAACTGTTGAATCACACTTCTTCTGTGAATCGTAGGATACAAACTCCTTGCTCAGAAATACTCTACTGTGTAACTAAGAGTAAGCACATGCAACCAAAATAACCAAATTTTGGTCCCTCTGGTTTTCCCCATCTCGGTTTCCCTCTCTTTATAGTGTTGTCAGCCATGTGTCTACTTCTGGAATTGCATCTTGAGAGTAAGGTAGAATGCTAGCTTTTGTACAAAATGCCTTGAACATAAATTGGAATAAGTTGATTGTAAGGGTAATTGGGGTAGCCCATAAAGTTAGCAAAATTCTGCCAAGCACTTTGCATTCTCAGTAGTTTCAGTGGAGAAAGTTAAGCAAGCGCCCAAATCTGTTCTATTGCCTTTAAAGAGCCTTAAAATGTATGTGTGTTCTGGCAAGGGAGAATGAAGGAAATGCCCTGGTTATAGCTGTTTAATATAAAACCCACGAATCTGCTACATTGTTTGATAAACATGTATTACTTTTTAACCTGCAAAACAGATGGCAGAAGAGTTTTTATTGCTTTGTTTTAGGAGAGATTCAGAAATACATTCTGAACTGATTAATAACTCAATTTTCTGCACCATGACTATTATAGACTTCTAAATAAATGTGAAGCATTTCATCATTTTTACTCACAAAGTTGGTGATGATATATTTTCTGCCTTATTGATCACGGGTGGTTTCTCACCCCCACACTCCCACCACATTTCTCTTACATGGCCAGTCTGAGTAATAAGAAGATACAGCAAGATACAACGAGTGTGTGTGTGTGTATGTGTGTGTGTGCGTGTGTGTGTGTGTGTGTGTGTGTGTGTGTGTGTGTGTGTGTGTGTGTGTGTGTGTAAAATCCAGATAGCAAGAATGATCATAATTATGAGAAGATAGGAACTGAATCTTATCTTGTGTTTGTGACTATCGTTGTGCCACATATTTCATCATTTAATACTGTCAGCCATTGTTAAAAGATACTATTAATTTACATGTGAGTTTCCTGTGGAAATGAAAACATTAATTTCTCAGTTCCAGTGGTGCATCAGATCTTTTAGAACCATGGTTACCTAGATAATCTTTGCAATTGCTTCCTTCTTTCCTTCCTTACACATTGGTTGGTCCCCCAACAATAGTTCATAGAATTATGAATTAACTGTGGGCTTGTGTGTTGCCTCCTTTTCCAGTTCTGGCTTGGAGGGCAGCTGTTAATTATACTGTGTCTATGGGTGTTTGAACTGGAAATGGAGAGGGGAGAGTATGACATTGAAGGTCATAGCTGATTAACAGTACTCCAGACAGAAAATGAAGGATCTGTCAGAAAATCTGGTATGTTACTTCCAGGGCATCTGCTTAGTATCTTTTTAAGTGGAGGCCATAGCCAGGAAAAATGGAAGCCTTTTAATAAAAAATAGTTTTTCAGCATCCTACCAGATTTGTGTTAAATATCTTGTTTAGAAGTTTGGTTTTATCTTGTATCTTTTTAAGTGGAGGCCATAGCCAGGAAAAATGGAAGCCTTTTAATAAAAAATAGTTTTTCAGCATCCTACCAGATTTGTTTTAAATATCTTGTTTAGGAGTTTGTTTTTATATGTCATAAATCTCTAATGCATGAGCTTTTACTCCGTTGTTTGTGAATTTGGGTGCAATGAAAACCATTTGACATTTCAAGAAAATGAATATATTTATGTTGTACTGTTTGAAGAACCATAAAATTCACCTGTAAGTCAAGGGTCCACTGTATATCTCTAATGCATGAGCTTCTACTCCCTTGTTTGTGAATTTGGGTGCAATGGAAACCATTTGACATTTCAAGAAAATGAATATATTTATGTTGTACTGTTTGAAGAACCATAAAATTCACCCATTAACCTCTAAAAAGGACCTTCCCTCCCTTCCCCATGCTTTATATTTTAGACATGATCTCTCTCCCCCCCCACCCCATCTTGTCATTAGCAAACATTGTTCTCAAAATCAGTCACTTCATGGTGATCAGTTCTTCTCTGTTATCAATGAGTAATGAAAATGATCTGTAGATACAGTGGGCCCTCGACTTACGAACTTAATCTGTTCTGGAAGTCCATTCGTAACCCGAAAAGTTCATAACTTGAATCAGCATTTCCCATAGGAATGCATTGAAAACCATTTAATCCGTTACAACTCGTTTTGGTTCTTAAGTCGAGGGGCGGTTCGCAAGTCGATTCATTAGTTCCCATAGGAATTAATGCAAAGCTGCTTAATCCGATCCTACCACTAGGGGCATATTTTTTCTTTCCCCCCTTCCCCCCCCCTTTTTTCCTTTTTTTGGTTCATAACTTGATTCCACGTTCGCAAGTAGGGTCTATAGTTTCCTATGAGATCGGGTTTGTAACCCGAAATGTTCGCAACTAGGGCCGTTCAGAAGTCGAGGGCCCACTGTAATACTGAAAAGATGGATTAGTATGTATTTACTGAATTGTTTTGTAGTTTCTTTCACAGAACATATTAAGCTTTTTAATGATACAAAGATTCCTTAAAGCATTTTGCAACACATACCAGTTGTGGAGACTTATAGCATAGAATTAAATTTTTTAATTTGATTTTTTCTTCTTCTGTTGTGTGTCCTACTTCCTTTGAATGTCACAAAATGATCTTTGCTTGTTCATTCTGCTGGACACAATTTGACAGGGTTTTTTTTGCCAATTCTTTAATCAAAAGGATGCAGTGCACTAAACTGGAATGTGCTGTGTAGAAAAAACAAGACAATTTCAGTATGTTCTGTCATTCAAAGTTTTCTTTTATACCTTTTAAAACCTGTTTATTCTCAATGCAATATAAATAACTCATATTTTTATATGAGGCTTTCTCTGTTATTAGTGCACTTGGTTCACAGCCATGTATGTATGTATATTAATTATCTGCTCTTTCTTCTCATAGGGGACCCAAGGTGGCTCATATCATTTAAAAACTATACAATGTCCACAAGTTAAAAATACCATTAAAAACAATATTAAAAACAATTAATCATTAGTCAATATTAAAACTATGATTAAAATCAAATTTAAAAACATTAAAAATATCTCTAAATGTAATAAATGCAGAATTCTCTTTCATTGCTTATAAGCCTATCTGAAAAGGCATGCATGTAGTCAGGAACTGGGACAAGCTGGGACAAACCAGTTTGTGCCCATTTCTGTTGGACATAATAATTCCTGGGCATTCTTCTCCACATAGCGGAGCCAGATTTGCCCCCTAGGTTACTAGGAAGCTAGCAGAGAGGCAACGAGAGAGATAGAGATTAGAGTGAACGTGGTGAGAAACTTGGAGCAGGTCTGACCAAAATGCCCTTTAGAAGACCTACTCTGGCAGTGATGACAATGTCTTCCCATGTGAACGTCTCCACGTTTTAAGACGTTGAGTGGGGAGCTTTTTCTCAGTCCACCCTTACCACTTTCTTTTTGGGTAGGCATATAGTAAGCAACAGGCTTTTAAAGATGATATTTTAATGGGAAAGCTATATATTTTTCTTTCTAAATGTGACTTCAGAAGGTTTCTGTTCAGTGGTTTAAACTTGTAATGTGTTTAAATGTTTCCTGATGTTCTAACTTATTGTAGCTGCCCTACTTCTCAGTTTCATCTTCTCCAGATCAATTAATTGAGCTGTTCCTTTCAACATCCTTTAGATTTATCTTCTTTTGTTTAGTTTGGAATCTGTAGAAGAGGAGTTGTTTTTAACTTGTATAAAATGAATGTCACCTAAAGACTGATTGATGGCAATGAAAGATTTTGAAATCTGTTAATGGCATCTGTTGCTTGAGGGTAAAATGGATAATGAAGGCTAAATGTTGCTTTACAAGGTAACATGGGGGGCTGGAGGTGGAGTTTATACATCAAGATGCTGGTAGAGCATGATAGATATCATAGGAATGATTACTTTCCAAAAATTGTTAGAGTCAGAGAAGGCTTTTATTACCCAAATCTATAAATATATAATGTGCTGGAAAATAAAACTGTTGATAAGCAACCTGCCGTTTCCTTATTTTCTCTATGATTTGTTGCTTAGAGCTTTAAACCATGTTTATAAAAGTTGCTTTGAAAAACTTATAAGAAATATATGTCATAATATTCAAGAAGGTTTTATGTTTGTTTCTTTTTCTTTCAGATCTAGGCCTTGACCAGTTTGTGGTGAAACGTTATGATGGGAAGGTGAGATTCCTGACGTTCTTATTGCCATTTGATCCATCTGGGAGATATTTACTCTCCCTTATGTAAAGCTATGCAGTAGTAGTAGACAAAGCCATGTTTGTTTTAGAGCAAGTTATAGCAGTTTTTAAAAACTTAATGGCTCACTTTAATGACTGCAACCAAATCTAAGCGTTTAAACAGCTTCCCTCTGCATGATCTGTTTAACACTGAGGCGGTAGAAATAATTTTGTGTTTAAAAATTAAAAAACAGCGCTCAGTGCTCTTTACGCCATTCTTCAAATTTCTTCACATGCACCCTTTTTCCTATTTTTTGAAAAGTGACATACAATTCTTAGAATGGGTGCACGTGGGCTCTTCACTTTTTTCTGAATCAGATATAGTCTGTATGTAAAATGTCTCGTATTTCCTTCTCAGAAGTTGAAATGGGAAGATGGACCTCACTTTTTGTTATTTCAATTGATCTTTCACTGACCAAATTCACTGTGACTATTCTTGTTCAGCCAACTCCCAGAAAATTCAGGCTCCCTGTGAGAAAGAGAGGCAGGCTTCCAATTTGGTTTTGTCTCCTTGATTTCTTTCTGTCCTCTAACTCACTAAGTGGTATCTTCAGGCAGATGAAAATTTGCTTACTATATTATGTTCTTCCCTGTTTTATTACTGGTTGACTTTTCATTTTAATGAAGTACAATAATGCTGATACTTCTTAAAGATCTGACACTCTTCTCTACTTGTGCCAGGACTAGTCTGTTTGCTCTGGAAGGGGACTGATATGTCCACAAGTTTACCTCAGGAGGGGGACAGGGATGGGTAGAGAGTGGGACTGAATTTTCTGCCCTGCCAAACTTTGCAGCAGGGTGGTGCAGAATGAGCCTCTTGTATTCTCTGCTGTTGCCATAGAGTGATGTTGCCATCTATTTGCCCTATAGTTCACCTTCATAACAGAAAGATCTATTTTAATTTGATAGTGCTAGCAGTGTCTTGGACTGAAGCATGCCTACTTCAGACTGTGGCTTGCCATTGTTGAGATAGGAAAGATGCCAGTAGACAGCCTTGGGAATGGGATTTAAGTCATCTCTGCTTCCAGAATCTTGTTCTGTTGCTTGGCCATCCTATAGTATGATGAGGGCATTGGTTTTTAGTGGTTATCACTAGTGCCTGAAAAGTAACGTGGAATACAGTTTCAGATCAGCTTTGAGTACATACAGACTGAAATCATATTGTGTGGCTGTGCAAAAGCCATAGCTTTTAGTAGCAAATTACCCGAAATTAAGAAATCTCCATAAACACTAGGTGTTGCATGCTGAACTACAAATAATGTCTATGGACTTTTCTTAACTTGAGGCAATTTGCTTCCAAAATATATCCCTTTTGCTTAGCAGAGCAGACTAGTTTTCATAACTGTAATAGTAAAGGTAAAGGTTCCCCTTGACATTTTTAGTCCAGTCATGTCTGACTCTAGGGGGTGGCACTCATCCCGCTTTTCAAGCCATAGAGCCAGCGCCTATCCAAAGACAGTTTCCATTGTCAGGTGGCCAGCGTGACTAGAGAACGCCGTTTTACCTTCCCACTGAGATGGTACCTATTTATCTACTCGCATTTACATGCCTTCGAACTGCTAGGTTGGCGAGGAGCTTGGACAAAGCAACGGGAGCTCACTCCATTGCGTGGATTCGATCTTATGACTGCTGGTCTTGTGACCCTGCAGCACAGGCTTCTGCGGTTTAGCCCACAGTGCCACTGGTTGTCTGAAACTTTGAATCATGTTAAAGATCTATTTGATTTTACGTTTGTATATAACCCACTTTATTTTATCTTTGGAAGAGAAACATGTCTTATTTATTCCAGATATTACAAATTTGTGTGGCAAGTTTATTTCAAAACTTTTTGTTGTTCTACTGTTGATTTTCCAAAAATGTGAACTATTAATGGCTTCATCTGATTAACCTTAGAGATTTTCCAGGGAAAAAAATAGGAATGTATGTTTTTTATGAAGGAATTTACAGCGAGTTTTTGGTTAAATCAAGCTATTTTCTTTTGTTGTTTCTTTCAGCAAATTGATCTGATTTCTTATGGTAGTTTCTCATGCTATACGATTTTGTAAAAGCTGATAGCCAAAACACATATGCACTCTGTTAGTTATGGACATAGGTGTTTGTAAATCACAGCTTTCCTCCTTAAAATACATAGCAATTTGAAAAGGGTTGGTAGATAGTTATCCTGCTCCACCGCATCTTAAACAGATAAATAACTGTTTATACAAAATTCCTATGTGCTGTGCATCCCAAATCAAGATCAGAGGTTAGTACACATTTCTAGTACATTGATCATATGGGAAGACACCTGACTGTAATGGATGTTTATTTTAACTGGATATTAACCATTAATTTTTAACTGGGTTAACTGATTAATTGGTCCATGGGTCAGTCATAACACCGGTGTCAATCATTAGTGAAGTTTATTCCTTTGAATATATTAGTGTCTGTTGTTAGATGTGCCATGCCAGTATGCTGTAGTGCAACTCTTATGAAACCCAGCTAGTAGGCTATTAGTACTGTGGTCAACAGGAGGGAGGAAGCTAGGATAGCGAGATATTTTGAGGAGTATATATTTTGACCCCTACTTAAAACTTGGTATACGTTTGTGAACAAGTTTTTATCTACCTCTGTACTCCGTATTGGATTGGTTGGCATAACCCAGATGTATTTTACCAGTCTCACTTGTTTTTCTTTTCTATTCCCAGTAATTACTAATTTCATTTTTTTGACACTTTATCAGGTAACTGCCAAATCTGATTGGTCTTTCTCTGCCTCTCTCCTGAAACAATGATTGATTTCTGTTTTTGTGGTTCTGTGTTTCCTCTTGTTATGACATACTCTAGAATTCTTTTAATTTATTTTTAACGTGTTTTATAACTAAACCTTTGCTCACTTTCTTCCCTTTCTTCCTAACCTTTCCCCCTTTCATCAGGATTTTTGGCAGGTACTCACGTGTCAGCATGTGCTTCAACCAATTTGTGCTTCAAAACCCATGTGCACCTTCTTATAAAAGGGGCAGTATATGTTTATCTGCTTTCCCCATGATTCTAAAAATAATTTGGTTTTCCCTTTTGGAATACTGTGTGAAAAATTATGCTTTATGAAATATGCAAAAATGAGTTCAGTGGCCAGCCATTTCATATATAAATAAGTTCTGTGAAAAATGACCAGATTTCTCTTCTCTTTTTTGATTATCACCCTTTACTTACTGAGAGTAGTTCATTTCCACTTTCTGTCAAAGTAAAACTATAATCTTTTTATAACAGGACAACTAGCATTTCTTGCTTTTAAAAAGATTGAAACATTTTATGTCTTGCAATAGAAAAATAGATCTTGTGGGCCAATTTACATTCAAATTCCACATTTTGTGTGTGAATGAATTCTTTTCATGCTGGTGAAGTCTAGCCACATGTCTCTACATTTTAAAGATCATGATGTCTTCTCTTCTGTCTACAGTTTAATTATTTAAATAATAAATAGATGGTTGAATGATTATATGCAAGAGAACATAATAACATAGGGCCCGTGAACAGTTTCATGTTCATTGAAATTCCTACCTCTGCTTTATAATTTGAATATATTTTTGAAGATTTTTATTGATTTACAGTGCAATCCTGTGTTTACAGTCAGAAGTAAACATCATGGATTCAGCGGAACTTAAAATTCAAGGAAATATTCTTAAAAATCATTAGTGACGGATTTCTAAATCACCTTTTAGTATTCTCTTATATTGAGAGTTGGTTTTAGTAACTAATGAAAGACTGTTGTTTTCAGGGACCTAAGAGAAAAGGAGACTTTAATGCTAGGGTTGGTGCTGATCACAATTCTTATCCCACTTGTCTAGGCCATTTTGGCATTGGGAAGATGAACGAAAATGGCAAATGCTTGCTGGAGTTTTGCAGTTATTATGTTCTTTGTGTCAGCAATACATTCTTTAATACAAAGCTTCAACACAGAGTTTCTTGAGGACATCCAAGATCCAAGCATTGGCATCAGCTCGATTTGATCCTCACTAGACGTTCTAGCCTTCCTCGTATTATGATCACACACAGTTACCAGAGCACTGTTTGCGATACTGATCACTCTCTGGTGTATAGCAGGGTAAAACTGTGAATAAAGAGATTGTATCACACGAAAAAGGAAGTAAGACCACGTATTGACATCAACAAGACTCGCAATCAAAGAAAAGTGGAGGAATTTGCCCAAGTGCTTGAGGAAACTCTTCCAGGCCCAGCTGATGCAAACTCACCTGAATGATGGGAAAATTTTAAGAATGCTGTTTATAACACCGCATTGTCCACATTTGGCAAGAAGACCAAAAAGACGACAGACAGGTTTGAAGCCCATTCAGAGGTTGATGCCAGCCATTGAGGATAAGATGAGAGCTTTAGCAGCATACAAAGCCTGTCCTAGTGAATACAATGTGCAGGGTCTTTGAGTTGCTCATAGACTGAGTGCCAGGAGATGTTCTAACGATTATTGGCTTCAGCTCTGCTCTCAGATACAGAGAGCAGTGGACATAGGTAACATCAAGGGGATGTATGATGGTATCAAGCAGGCTTTAGGTCCAATACAGAACAAATCTGCTCCTGTGAAGTCTGCTACAGGCATGATCATCCAGGACCGAGAACAGCAGATGGAACGCTGGGTGCAGCACTACTCTTAGATATATTCTAGAGAGAATGTAGTAACCAAAGAAGCATTAAATAACATTGAATGCCTGCCTCTCTTGGAAGAGTTAGACAGCGAACCAACTTTAGCAGAAATAGAAGCGGCCTTGGATTCCCTGGCCTCTGGCAAGGGACCTGGAAAGGATAATATCCCTGTTGAAGTGCTGAAATGCTGTAAAGAGATCATCACCACTGAGCTGTATGAAATCTTCTGTCTTTGCTGGAGGGGAGGTGGAGTACCACAGGACATGAAGGATGCAAACATCATCACATTGTACAAGAACAAGGGAGACAGGGGCGACTGCAATAAGTACTATGGCATCTCTCTTCTTTCTTTCTTTCTTTCTTTCTTTCTTTCTTTCTTTCTTTCTTTCTTTCTTTATTTATTTATTTATTTATTTATTTATTTACAGTGGTGCCTCGCATACCGAGGTTAATCCGTTCCGGATTAACCTTCGCTATAGCGAAACATCGCTAAACGGAATTTAAAAAGCCATAGAAACGCATTGAACTTCGTTCAATGTGTTCCTATGGCTTTAAAACTCACCGTTAAGCAATGTTCCTCCATAGCGCCGCCATTTTCGCGCCCTCGGTATGCGAGGGCAGAGCGCAAAAATGCAGCGCGGACCTTCCGGCGGCCATTTTGGAACCGCCGTTCTCCCCCGCTTCATTATGCGATATTCACTAAGCGAATCGCTTAGCGAATATCGCAAAGCGAAAAATCACCATAGGGGCCATCGCTGAGCGAATGCTCCAGTGATGGCCCAGAGTGCCTCGTTAAGCAATTTCATCGCTCAGCAAGGCGCTCGTTAAGCGAGGCACCACTGTAATTAAAATGCCAATTAAACAGGACAAAAAAATTTAAATAATAAAACACAAATAAACAATATGGACAGAAAGTATTAAAATGTATTTTCAACCTACATTGTAGATATATAAATCCTATTCATGTATGGTGATTAATGGTTAGGGATGTGAAAACTTCTCAGCTTTGATTTTGTTAATTCCCCCCCCAAATTCATTTGAATTTTCTTCCCATTCTTGTTTTCTATTGCTTTACAGCTCACGCGTGCGCGCACACACCACACACTTTTTAAAATATATTTTTAGAATGTGCACATTATTCTATGTTAACTATTTCTCAGAACACCTAGGAGACCTCATGTCTGTAAGAATTCTTGAGATGAGGAACATTTTTTTATGCAACAAGTCTTGGGAGACTAAAATATGCTGCTTTCATTGAGACTATCAAATCCAAATCTTTCCCACTCCCACTA